GGGACTCTATGTAACCTTTGCTGATCTCACCAAGGCTTTTGATACTGTGAGCAGAAAAAGTCTGTGGTAGATTTTGGAACGTTTAGGATGTCCCCCCAAGTTCCTCAAAATGATCACCTCACTTCATGAGGACCAGCGTGGTCAAGTCAGATATGGCAATGCACTTTCTGAGCCCTTTCCAACAGCCAATGGTGTGAAGCAAGGCTGCGTTCTTGCACCAACTCTATTCACAATCTTCTTCAGCATGGTGCTCCAAAGGGCCACAGCAGACTTGGATGAAGATAATGACATCAACATCCCATATCATACTGATGGAAGCCTCTTCAACCTAAGGGGACTGAAGGCCCACACTGAGACCTTAAATCATCTTGTCCATGAGCTGCTTTACGCTGACGACGACGCCCTCGTCACCCACACAGAAGCAGCTCTGCAGTGTTTAACATCCTGCCTTGCAGAGGCTGCTGAGCTTTCTGGGCTGGAAGTCAGCTGGAAGAAGACAGAAGTTTTATATCAGCCTGCACGTCAAGAAGTCTCCCATCATCCCCATATCACCATTGGCGAATCAGAGCTCAAATCAGTCCAGCAGTTTAATTACCTGGCAAGCATCATCTCCTCGGACGGTAAGATTGATGCAGAAATAGACAACAGGTTAGCAAAGGCATACAGAGCTTTCGGTAAACTCCATAAAAGAGTTTGGTGAAACAAACACCTGAAGAAAAGTACAAAGAGCAGCGTTTACAGAGCCATTGTACTGTCTACTCTTTTATATGGGTCTGAATCATGGGTCATTTACCGCCACCACTTGCGTCTCTTAGAACGCTTCCATCAGCACTGCCTCCGTACAATCCTAAACATCCACTGGACGGATTATGTGACCAACATGTCTGTCCTTGAACAGGCAGCAGTCACGAGCATTGAGGCCACGCTGCTGAGAACACAGCTGTGCTGGGCAGGGCACGTCTCCAGGATGCAGGACTGCCACCTCCCTAAGATTGTGCTCTGTGGGGAACTTGCCACTGGTGCCACAAGAGAGGAGCCCCGAAGAGGAGATACAAGGACTGCCTGAAACAATCCCTCAGCCTTGGCCATATTGATCATCACCATTGGTCTACCCTGGCCTCCAATCGGGAGGCCTGGAGACACCATCTATAACACTGCTGCTGCTTTTGAGAACACACGCAGGATCACTCTCGAGGAGAAAAGACAACGCAGAAAGAATCGCGTCTCATCAACATCACCTGGGGAGTCTTTCTGCTGTGCCTTCTGCAACCGGACTTGTCTATCTCGCATTGGCCTTTTTAGCCATCAGCGCGCTTGTAGCAAGCGTGGGTAGAGCCCTTCTCAAACCTTTGTTCACGAAGCCCAGCCATGATATCATGTAATAAATATGCATGAAGTAGCTAGAATAAATATTAGTCAAATACTCTTGTCAGGGGTGCAGAATCTTTCTGTTGCCCAGCATGCTCTTTGCTTTTATCATATAATAAATTCCAATTTGAGAACTGATTATATCCTGAGACTCTGTTTCTCACAAATTGGAGAATATTTAGAGACTGTTTCTCACACCCTGCGTGGTCCCAGTCACTCCCAGTCACCCCAGTAGAGTTCCAGCCACTCCTAGTTCAGTTCCAGTCACCAGCAGTATGATCCCAGTATATCCCTGTCACTCCCACTACCATCCCAGTCACTCCCAGTAGGAATCCAGTCACTTCCACTAGGGTCCCACTTGCTCCCAGTCACCCCCAGTATGGCTCCAGTCACTCCCAGTCCATTCCATTAGGATTCCAGCATGAGCCCAGACACTCCCTATATGGTTCCAGTTGCTCCAGTATGAACCCCCTCACTCCCAGTGAGGAGTTTCATACTGGACCCTTCCTCACTCATTAAGATGCCATTTGCCCCCAGCATGGTCCCAGTTCCTCCCAGTCACCCAGCATGGTTCCAGTCACTCCCAGGATGATTCCTGTCACTCCCAGTCTCTGCCAGTATATCCCAGTCACCCTCAGCATGCTCCCACTCATTCCCAGTATGATTCCAGTCACTCCTGGTCTCTCCCAGTTGCTCCCAGTTTCCCTCACTGTGGTCCCACTCATTCCCAGTTGGCCCCAGTAGCTTCCAGCATGATCCCAGTTGCTCACAGCCACTTCCAGTCACCCCCAGTGCACTCCCAGTAGCTCCCAGTATGATCCCAATCACCTCCAGCATGATCCCACTTGCTCCCATTATATCCCAGTTGCTCCAACATGGTCCCAATTGCCCCCAGCATGCTCCCACTCACTCCCAGTATGATCCCAGTCACCCTCAGTGTGGTCTCAGTTGCCCCCAGCATGGGCCAAGCTACTCCCACTGTGATCCCAGTATGATCCCAGTTGCCCCCATCATAGTCCCAGTTGCCCCCAGTTGTCCCTACCACAGATCCAGTCACTCCAGGTAGGATCCCGCTCTTCCCTCCTGACAGTCCCAGTCAATCCCAGTTACTTCTATTGTAGATCCAGTCAATCACAGTTCCTTCCAGTTGCCCCCAGACTGGTCCTAATTCCCCTCCAAGCAGTCCCAGTCGCTCCCAGTGTGGTCCCAGTCACCCCACTATGGTTACAGACACTCCCAGTATATCCCAGTATAGCCCTCAGCATGCTTGTAGTCCTTCCCAGTCACTCCCAGTTGCCCCAGTAACATTCCAGTTTCCACCAGAATGATCTCAGTGGTTCCAAGCCACTCCCAGTATATCCTATGTGGCCTCCAGTTACTCCCAGTAGCCCTGGGTGTGGTCCCAGTTGCTCCCAGTATGATCCCTGTTGCCCCAGTTCTGGTCCTGGAGGATCCCAGTGTGCTCTAATCCTGCTCCCGGGGGGTTCTGCTGGGTCCTGGTCCTGATGTATCCTGGTGTCCCAGTCCGTCCCAGTCTGTCCCAGTCCACCCCACTCTGTCCTAGTCCGTTCCAGTCTGTCCCGGTCCGTCCCAGTCCATCCCAGTGCATCCCAGTCCATCCCAGCCCGTCCCGGTCCCTTCCCGGCAGCCGCCGCCGTTCCCGGGTCGTGCCCCCCCCAACCCCCCCAGAGCCGCCGCCGGACGCCGCCCCCCCAAGATGCTGACGGGGGTGGGGGCTCCGTGTTTGGGCTCGTCTGCCGGGGGTGCCGCGATTCGTGCCCGTCCCGGGTGCCCGGGGGTGGCGGGGGGACCCGGGGCGGTGCCGGGAGGGGTCCCGAAGGGGATCGCGGGCAATTCCCGGCAGTTCCCCCGTGCCCGCCCCCCGCGCTCCCTCGGGCACTTTCGCTTTCCATTTCCCAAACTGCGCCAGGCGGGGCCAGCGGAGCAGCGCGATGGCTCCAGCGCTGGGGCTGGGGGCGCTCCTGGCGCTCCTGGCGCTGCCGGGGGGCTCGGGGGGGCAGCCGAAGGGTAAGTGGGACCCCCGCAACGGGCAACTCGGCCACTTTGATTGCCGGGCCCCGGCACTTCCCTGAACTTCCATTCCCGGGCACCGGGACCCCTCCGCACCCTCTCCCTCAGCACCGGGACCCTCTGAACCCCCATTGCTGGGCACGGGAACCCCCTGAGCCCCATTCCCGGAAGGAGACCCCCCTGAACACCCATTTTTGGGCACCGAGACCCCCCTGAACCTCCATTTCCGGGCACTGGGACCCCCTGCACCCTCTCCCTCCACACCGGGACCCCCTTAAACCTCCTTATGCAGCACCGGGAACCCCCTGAACACCCATTCCCAGAAGGAGACCCCCTGAACGCCCATTTTTGGGCACAGGGACCCCCCTGAACCCCCTATTCCTGGCACTGAGACCCCCCCTGAACACCCATTGCTGGGCATAGGAACCCCCTGAACCCCCTTCCCCGGAAGGAGACCCCCCTGAACACCCCTTCCTGGCCACTGAGACGGCCCTGAACCACCATTCCCAGGCACGGGAATCCCCCCCCTCCATTCCCGGGCACTTGGACACTCCCTCCACCCCATCCCACAGAGCTGGGACCCCTCAAACTGCCTTGTCTGGCACCACGACCCCCCTGAACCCCCATTTCTGGGTATGGGAACCCCCTGGACCCCCATTCCTGGCACAGGGATCCCCCTGAACCCCCTTATCCTCAACAAATACCCCCTGAGCCCCTTTTCCTGGCAATCCCGCCTCTCCCAGCCCCCTGATCCTCCCTTTTCCTTGACCCTGGGACCCCCTGAACTCCCATTCCTGCCTTTCCCATCCCCCAGCCCCCACTTTCCTCAACACTGTGGGCCACTGGACCCCCCTTTCCTGGGCACAGGGACCCCCTGGATCCCCTATCCCACCTCTCCCAATCCCAGCCCCCCCTTTCCTTGAACCTTGGACCCTTCCCAGCTCTCTCATCTCTCCCAGTTCCACTTCCTTGACCCTTGGACACCCCAAAACCATCCAATGTCTTTGACCCCCCCCAGTTCTCCCCTCCCTGTGCTTCCTGCAGGGGGGTCCCAGGCACCGGGAACGCCCCCGACAGCAATTCCTGGGCACAGGGACCCCCCTGAACTTCCATTCCTGGCACTGGGACTCCCTGAACCTCCATTTCTGGGCACAGGGATCCCCCTGCACCCCCTGATCCAACACTGGGACCTCCCTGGACCCCTATGCCTGGGAACTGGGACACCCCTGGACCCCATCCCCAGCTCCAGGACCCAACTTATCCTGCACCAACACTCCCCTGCACCCCCTTTCCCAGCCATCCTGCCTCTTCCAGACCCCAGACCTTTTCCTTGATCCTGGGACCCCCTGGACCCCCATTCCTGCCTTTCCCAGACCCCAGACCCCTCTTTCCTCAACACTGGGGACCCCTGGACGCCACTTTTGTGGTCACAGAGACCCCCTGAACCTCCATCCCACCTCTCCCAGTGCCCTCACCCCCTTCCCCTGACCCTGGGACCCCCTGAACCTCCATTCCTGGGAATGGGAACCCCCCCAGCACCCTCTGATTCAGCACCCAGAACCCCCTGAGCCCCTTTCTCTGGGACTGGGATCCCCTGCACGCCCTTATTGGGCACTGGAACCCCCCTGAACTTCCATTCCTGGACACAGGGACCCTCCTACACCCCCGTGTGTGGCAGCAAGACCCCCTGAACCTCCATTCCTGTGCACAAGGACTCCCCTGGACTGCCTTATTCTGCACCAACACCCCCTGCACCCCCTTTCCCATCCATCTCACCTCTCCCAGACCCCAGACTCAGCTTTTCCTGGACCCTGAGACCCCCTGGACCCCCATTCCTGCCTTTCCCAGCTCCCAGAGCCCCCTTTCCTCAACACTGGGAACTGCTTGGACCTCCTTTCCTGGGCACAGGGACCCTCTAGACTCCCCATCCCACCTCTCCCAGCCCTTGCACCCCCCTTTCCTTGACTCTGGGACCTCTGAACCCCCATTCCTGGGCATTGGGACCCTTCTGAACCCCTTGTCTGGCACTGGGACCCCCCTGCAGCCCATTTCCCGGCCATTCCACCTCTTCCAACTCCCAGATACCCCCTTTTCCTTTATCCTGGGACCCCGGACCCCCATTCCCGACCATCTCACATCTCCCCACCTGTGACTCCCCTTTCCTCAGCCCTGGGGACCTCTGGGCCCCTTTTCCTTGTCAGAGGGACCCTCTGGATCCCCCCATTCCACCTCTCCCAATCCCTGTATCCCCCTTTTCCCTGACACTGGGACCTCAGTCCTGTGCAGTGAGACCCCTGGCACCCCCTCCCCCAGCACTGACACCCCCTGCACCAACTTCCCTGGGATCCCCAAACCCCTTTTGTGGCTCTCCCAGCTCTCCCAGTTCCACCTTTCCTTGACCCATGACCCTCCTGGACCTCCCAAACCTCCGTGTCCCCCCAGTTCTCCACTCCCTGCGTTACCTGCAAGTGGCAGTGACGGAGCCCAGCCTGGGTATCCCCCAATTCATGGAAATTGGATACGTGGACGGGATCCCCATCAGCCGCTACGACAGTGAATGGGGCCGGACGGAGCCGCAGACGCCGTGGATGGCGGCTGTAACTGAGCCAGGATATTGGGATGAAGGGACCCAGCGAAACGAGAGGAACCGGCTCGTGGCTGCCAACAACCTGGAGACAGTGGGGGCCCGGTACAACTGGAGTGGGGGGATGTGTGGGGCTGGGATGGGATGTATGGGGCTGGGATGGGGATCCAAGGCGCTCCAAGGAGCTAGGATGAGGCTCTGTGGGTCTCCATTGGACTCTGGGGCTCCATAGGGCTGGAATGGGGTTCTGTGGGGCTGGGACACAATTCCAGGGATCTCTGTGGGTCTGATCCCACTCCCCAGGTCTCCACACAGCGCAGACACTTTATGGCTGTGACCTCCTGTCCGACGGGAGTGTCCACAGA